AGCAGTTACAAAGAAACAGGACGTTCTTGGTTAAGGCGACCATTGAGCGTCCAGACCAATTTTCGGTCGCCCATAGGTGATGCAAAGGTCGCATCCCTGTGTAAACACGAATTTATTGTATAACAAAGTGTCATACTTCAGAGTCCTTCTGACCAATTCTTGTAAGAAAACACTGAAATTTAGAATCAATAAAATACGTTTATATTACGTTACTCGCTAAAAAACATTGTGCTAAATGCTAACAAGATAGGCTCTTTGGAAATCAAGGAAAACAACAAAGCAATCGTTGTCATTAAATGTTTTATTATGTGTTCCCTAATGAACACTGTTTGGTGATGTGGTGAGTTATTGTTACTACCGATGTGGTGAGTTATTGTTACTACAGATGTGGCGTGTTATTGTTGCTACCGATGTGGTGTGTTATTGTTACTACCGATGTGGTGTGTTATTGTTACTACCGATGTGGCGTGTTATTGTTACTACCGATGTGGCGTGTTATTGTTACTACCGATGTGGTGTATTATTGTTACTACCGATGTGGTGAGTTATTGTTATTACCGATGTGGTGAGTTATTGTTACTACCGATGTGGCGTGTTATTGTTATTACCGATGTGGTGAGTTATTGTTACTAACGATGTGGTGTGTTATTTTTACTACCGATGTGGTGAGTTATTGTTACTACCGTTGTGGTGAGTTATTGTTATTGCCCATGTGGTGAGTTATTGTTATTGCCCATGTGGTGAGTTATTGTTACTACCGTTGTGGTGAGTTATTGTTACTACCGTTGTGGTGAGTTATTGTTATTGCCCATGTGGTGAGTTATTGTTATTTCCGATGTGGTGAGTTATTGTTACTACCGTTGTGGTGAGTTATTGTTACTAACGATGTGGTGTGTTATCGTTACTACCGATGTGGTCTGTTATTGTTACTACCGACGTGGCGTGTTATTATTACTACCGATGTGGCGCGTTATTGTTACTACCGATGGGGTGTGTTATTGTTACTACCGCTGTGGTGTGTTATTGTTTCTACCGATGTGGCGTGTTATTGTTACTAACGATGTGGTGTGTTATGGTTACTACCGATGTGGCGTGTTTTTGTTACTAACGATGTGGTGTGTTATTGTTACTGTCACCTGTACTTCAGTATGATTTTATGACATAACAACACTGTTATACACAAAGAGTTTTTGGTCCAGGTCTATCATAACNATTGTTACTACCGATGTGGCGTGTTATTGTTACTAACGATGTGGTGTGTTATTGTTACTACCGATGTGGCGTGTTTTTGTTACTAACGATGTGGTGTGTTATTGTTACTGTCACCTGTACTTCAGTATGATTTGATGACATAACAACACTGTTATACACAAAGAGTTTTTGGTCCAGGTCTATCATACACACACCATGTCCCATACTAGATCTATCATACACGCATCATGTCACATACCAGATCTATCATACACACACCATGTCACATACCAGATATATCATAAACACACACCATGTCACACACCAAATCTATCATACACACACCATGTCACACACCAGATATATCATAAACACACACCATGTCACACTCCAGATCTATCATACACACACCATGTCACATACCAGATATATCATAAACACACACCATGTCACACACCAGATCTATCATAAACACACCATGTCACCAACCAGATATATCATACACACACACCATGTCACACACCAGATCTAGCATACACACACACCATGTCACATACCAGATATATCATAAACACACACCATGTCACATACCAGATCTATCATACACACACCATGTCACATACCAGATCTATCATACACACACCATGTCACACACCAGATCTATCATACACACACCAGATATATCATACACACACCATGTCACACACCAGATCTATCATAAACACACCATGTCACCAACCAGATATATCATACACACACACCATGTCACATACCAGATCTATCATACACACACCATGTCACCTACCAGATCTATCATATACACACACCATGTCACACACCAGATCTAGCATACACACACACCATGTCACACACCAGATCTAGCATACACACACACCATGTCACACACCAGATATATCATAAACACACACCATGTCACACACCAGATCTATCATACACACACCATGTCACACACCAGATCTATCATACACACACCATGTCACCTACCAGATATATCATACACACACACCATGTCACATACCAGGTCTATCATACACACACCATGTCACAAAACAGATCTATCATACACACACCATGTCACCTACCAGATCTATCATACACACACCATGTCACACACCAGATTTATCATACACACACCATGTCACACACCAGATCCATCATACACACACCATGTCACATACCAGATATATCATACACACACCATGTCACAAACCAGATATATCATACACACACCATGTCACATACCAGATATATCATACACACACCATGTCACATACCAGATCTATCATACACACACCATGTCACATACCAGATCTATCATACACACACCATGTCACACACCAGATCTATCATACACACACCAGATATATCATACACACACCATGTCACACACCAGATCTATCATAAACACACCATGTCACCAACCAGATATATCATACACACACACCATGTCACATACCAGATCTATCATACACACACCATGTCACCTACCAGATCTATCATATACACACACCATGTCACACACCAGATCTAGCATATACACACACCATGTCACACACCAGATCTAGCATACACACACACCATGTCACACACCAGATATATCATAAACACACACCATGTCACACACCAGATCTATCATACACACACCATGTCACACACCAGATCTATCATACACACACCATGTCACCTACCAGATATATCATACACACACACCATGTCACATACCAGGTCTATCATACACACACCATGTCACAAAACAGATCTATCATACACACACCATGTCACCTACCAGATCTATCATACACACACCATGTCACACACCAGATTTATCATACACACACCATGTCACACACCAGATCCATCATACACACACCATGTCACATACCAGATATATCATACACACACCATGTCACAAACCAGATATATCATACACACACCATGTCACATACCAGATCTTTCATACACACACCATGTCACCTACCAGATATATCACACACACACACCATGTCACCTACCAGATCTATCATACACACATCATGTCACACACCAGCTATATCATACACACACACCATGTCACACACCAGATCTATCATACACACACCATGTCACACACCAGATATATCATACACACACCGTGTCACACACCAGATATATCATACACACACACCATGTCACACACCAGATCTATCATACACACACCATGTCACACACCAGATCTATCATAAACACACCATGTCACCTACCAGATATATCATACACACACACCATGTCACATACCAGGTCTATCATACACACACCATGTCACACACCAGATATATCATACACACACCATGTCACCTACCAGATATATCATACATACACACCATGTCACCTACCAGATATATCATACACACACACCATGTCACACACCAGATCTATCATACACACACCATGTCACACACCAGATATATCATACACACACACCATGTCACACACCAGATCTATCATACACACACCATGTCACACACCAGATCTATCATACACACACCATGTCACACACCAGATATATCATACACACACACCATGTCACACACCAGATCTATCATACACACACCATGTCACACACCAGATCTATCATACACACACCATGTCACCTACCAGATATATCATACACACACACCATGTCACATACCAGGTCTATCATACACACACCATGTCACAAAACAAATCTATCATACACACGCCATGTCACACACCAGATCTATCATACACACACCATGTCACACACCAGATATATCATACACACACACCAAGTCACACCAGATTTATCATACACACACCATGTCACACACCAGATCCATCATACACACACCATGTCACATACCAGATATATCATACACACACCATGTCACAAACCAGATATATCATACACACACCATGTCACATACCAGATCTTTCATACACACACCATGTCACCTACCAGATATATCACATACACACACCATGTCACCTACCAGATCTATCATACACACATCATGTCACACACCAGCTATATCATACACACACACCATGTCACACACCAGATCTATCATACACACACCATGTCACACACCAGATATATCATACACACACCGTGTCACACACCAGATATATCATACACACACACCATGTCACACACCAGATCTATCATACACACACCATGTCACACACCAGATCTATCATAAACACACCATGTCACCTACCAGATATATCATACACACACACCATGTCACATACCAGGTCTATCATACACACACCATGTCACACACCAGATATATCATACACACACCATGTCACCTACCAGATATATCATACATACACACCATGTCACCTACCAGATATATCATACACACACACCATGTCACACACCAGATCTATCATACACACACCATGTCACACACCAGATATATCATACACACACACCATGTCACACACCAGATCTATCATACACACACCATGTCACACACCAGATCTATCATAAACACACCATGTCACCTACCAGATATATCATACACACACACCATGTCACATACCAGGTCTATCATACACACACCATGTCACACACCAGATATATCATACACACACCATGTCACCTACCAGATATATCATACATACACACCATGTCACCTACCAGATATATCATACACACACACCATGTCACACACCAGATCTATCATACACACACCATGTCACACACCAGATATATCATACACACACCATGTCACAAACCAGATACATCATACACACACCATGTCACAAACCAGATCTATCTTACACACACCATGTCACATACCAAATACATCATACACACAACATGTCACATACCAGATCTATCATACACACACCATGTCACATACCAGATCTATCATACACACACACCATGTCACATACCAGATATATCAGACACCCACCATGTCACATACAAGATCCATCATAGATCTTTTCACCTTGTCAAAGTGAAACTAAGATTCAAGTTACCATCACAAGATATATCCATAACAGTTACCATTCCAAACAAGTTTTACTGTTATCAATTACAGACAACAAGATTTTGAAGGCAAATGTACCAAGTTCATGTTATAAGATGACGTTACTTGATGTTGGTGAAGGGCTAGCTCTGTAGGTATTAGTACCCAGCCCCATCACATCCCCCCGATAGCCAACAAAGTCAGGCACCGTTGGTTGTCCTACCATCCAGAGTCATACTGTATGTATCGCACTAGGGTGTGGATAACCAGTTTGTGCGGGGAAATATTGGTAACTCCAACAAAAAAGATATCCGACACCACTGCTAGTACACAGAAATCTCAGTCAATCCTAGATTAAGAGGTTGTCACCGCTAAGGGTGTGGGGAAATATTGGTTACTCCAACAAAAAAAGACAATGGCACCACTGTTAGTGCACAGAAATCCTAGATAGATTCTAGATTAAGAGGTTGGCACCACTACGGGTGTGGGGAAATACTGGTTGGAATGTCTATGCTCCTTTAGGTACTCGCCTCCCTTCTCCTCATAATCTTGCCGAGATATACAGTGGGCAGTGAAGTGTGGGGATAGGGCCCATTTCCTGGCTCCATACCAAGTATCCAAAATTGGGTTAGCTAGAAGAATCATACAAGAACACCTGTGACTCAAACTGGCTGATTGCCTCAGTTAAATTACAATCCTAATATATCACAGTTATGATTCATGCAACTCTTACAATGAACTACATGCATATCTAAAAACAAGATTTAATTTAATCCAATTTCCATAGCTTTTTTAGCAGCAATATAAAGATTCTCAGAGAATGTTGAATGGTATACCTGCACAGGAGACATTGAACAGGGACTGGAACGGCCTCATTTCTAACAATTCTGACTGCAGCCTCTGTTGGAAGTTCCTGAACAATGCATTCCCCCCAGTCAGGAACACATTCTGGAAGCAATTTAATGATTGGCGTAAAATTGATAGGATATTCGCATGTGACTGACGAAAATTTCATTTCATTATAACATTAGATCAGATGTTCTCATTATGAACCTCATAAATGTAAAATATTGAAAATTTGGGTTTATTTAATGTCATAACCAATAACTCATGAAACAGCACTTTCCATATGTGACAGTGTTGTTTTCTATGTTATTTGGGAAAAAAAGCAGATTGATGTGAAAGTTTTCAACCCTAAATGTAAAAGCTGATAAGAGTCAAATGAAATATTTATAGATTCCTCTATTTACCTGAGCCAGAGAATTCTGTCGGTCAGCATCATGCTTTTTCAGGATATAGTTCATGGTTTCTGCAATACCAGCTTGTTCAAGACCAAGCATGGATGGCTGGAATAACAGCTCTGGTACCCTGATACACAATCATAAAATCAGTATAACAGCTCTGTACTCTCATACACAATCGTAAAAACAGTATAACAGTTCTGTGCCCTCATACATGTACACAATTGTAGTAGCAGCGTAACAGCTTCTGTACCCTAATACACAATTGCAATAACAGTTCTGTACCCTGATACACAATTGTAATAACAGTTATGTACCCTTATACACAATTGTAAGAACAGTTCTGTACCCTTATCCACAATTGTAATAACAGTTCTGCACCCTTATACACAATTGCAATAACAGTTCTCTACCCTGATACACAATTGTAATAACAGTTATGTACCCTTATACACAATTGTAAGAACAGTTCTGTACCCTTATACACTATTGTAATAACAGTTCTGTAACCTTATACACAATTGTAATAACAGTTCTGTACCCTTATACACAATTACAATAACAGTTCTGTATCCTGATACACAATTGTTATAACAGTTCTGTACCCTTATACACAATTGTAATAACAGTTCTGTACCCTGATACACAATTGTAGTAGCAGCGTAACAGCTTCTTTACCCTTATACACAATTGTAATAACAGAATAACTGTTCTGTACCCTTATACACAATTACGATAACAGTTCTGTATCCTGATACACAATTGTAATAACAGAATAACTGTTCTGTACCCTTATACACAAGAGCAATAACAGTTCAGTACCCTGATACATAATTGTAATAACAGTTCTGTACCCTAATACACAATTGTAATAACAGTTGTGTACCCTGATACACAATTGTTATAACAGTTCTGTACCCTTATACACTATTGTAATAACAGTTCTGAACCCTGATACACAATTGTAATAACAGTTCAGTACCCTACTACACAATTGTAATAACAGTTCAGTACCCTGATACACAATTGTAATAACAGTTCTGTACCCTGATACACAATTGTAGTAGCAGCGTAACAGATTCTTTACCCTTATACACAATAGCAATAACAGTTCAGTACCCTGATACACAATTGTAGTAGCAGCGTAACAGCTTCTTTACCCTTATACACAATAGCAATAACAGTTCAGTACCCTGATACACAATTGTAGTAGCAGCGTAACAGCTTCTGTACCCTTATACACAATTGTAATAACAGTTATGTACCCTTATACACAATTGTAATAACAGTTATGTACCCTGATACACAATTGTAGTAGCAGCGT